GTCTCTCCAACAAACTCTCCTGTGAGGCTGGGAGTTTCTCTCACTGCCACCTCAACCCCCACAGGTGTTTTGAGGCTCTATTTCCCCATGCTGGGACCCTGGGTTGTGAGGTCTGTCTCGCTCCCCAGTTGTTCCTCCCAGTTTATCTGCACATGAATGTGGGACTGCCCACTCCACCAGCTGCCACTTTGCTGGTCTGCCAACTGTTGCCTTGCCGGCCAGTTGCAGCGTTGCCCATTTGATCCTCCACCGCCACCTTGCCATGAGTCCTCCCCACCTGGCTGCCTGTCTCCACACCTCCTATCACTCTGGATGGATGTTTCTTCTTTAACTCCTTGGTTGTCGGACTTCCATACAGTTTGATTTTCTGTCAGTTCTGGTGGTTTTTTGTTTTTAAATTGTTGTTGTCCTTCTTTTGGTTGTGTGAGGAGGCACAGTGTATTTACCTACACCTCCATCTTGGCCAGAAGTTGGCCTGACACTACTCCTACATCATTTTTTCCTGGGAACAAATGAGGCTAACAGCATGCTTATGTAACAGGGAATATCAGCATCTCCCAAAATGGGGAGGTTCCCCCACCTACCTGGCTGGGGGAAGCAGAGTAGGGTCATTGAGAGTTACTTTGCAGGTCTACAGAATTTGTCCAGTGTTTTAGTAATGTTAAAAGCTGTGCTTGCCTTGCTCAGAGCCTGGGAGATGGATGTGACTCTACCCTGTGATGCAGCAGGAAGGCAGTCCCCTTGTTGCTTCAGTTGCTACACCTGCCTAAGCAGCTTGGAGGCCAAGCCTGCCAGGACTAACAATGGCAGCCAAGAAAGGCAGAAGAGACCAGACTACTGGCAGGTGTAACCCAGTGTGGGAGGAGTCATAAATTGAGTTACAGAGGAAGATCTGCACCGGGATTTAAAAGTGCAAGTGTAGCAGCCATGCTGAAGCTCTGGACCATATGGGAAGGAGAGCCGGAGAGCTATGAGAGGCTCTCTGTCTTGCACTGTCTTCACCATGTGGTTTGGGATCAGAGAGGGGGCTCTTCATCATGCAGCCTAGAAAGGAACAGAAAAGCAGGATGTAGCAGCTGTATGAGGTCTTGGCCATGTGGTGTGGGGGCAGAAGGTCCCCTACCGGCCCACCATGAGGATGCAGTTTTGGATTAAGAGCAAGAGCCTAGCCAGCCGAGCAGAGACTACTAGAGGAAGCCAGAATACAGACAGGAATCTGCCCAGCTAAGCTACAGACTTCTATTTCTTTTCCTGAGAGGTAATACCTCTGACTGGCCTGGTTTGGCAAGGGGAGACAGGACTGTGTATTAGTAGGTGTTTTTTTGTTTTTAAAGTGACCAAGATTTAATGGCAGAACTCCACCATTATTCTAAACCTATACAACTTTTGAATAAATACCATATTTTTAGGACTATAAGATGCACTAGACCATAAGACACACCTAGGTTTTAGAGGAGGAGATAGGAAAAAAAATTTTGAAGCAAAAAATGTGGTAAATTTTCAATAACCTGTGACCCCACTCCACTGCCACCCTGCACCCCCACAGTGAGCCAGGTAAGCTACATTCGGACTATAAGACGCACCCCCCTTTCCTCTCAAATTTGGGGAGAAAAGTGTTTTATAGTCCAAAAAATATGGTAGCTCCTTTCCTTTTCATAAGACTCTGGTATTGGGAGTCCTGGTTCTTATTGGCACTGGGCAATAGAACCCAGAGCAATAGAAACCATTGGTTCTTTTATAGTTACTATTCCTAAGGTCTGTGAAAAAAACAAGCCATATACATTTGCACTGAAGGAGAATATGTAACATCAGCAAAAATTTCTCCAATTAACGCCTCTTTATTTCAAAAGCCTGACACATACACATGCACACATCTTTAGGATGATTACAATTTATTCTGCAAATCATTCTTTGCACTGGCTCCCATTTCCCACAATAGTTTGTACGCTCCATGACACCAGGGGGTCACAGGACCAGGGTCTGTTTTTGTTCAGAATTGAGTATTCCATGCCCAAAGTAGTTATTGACAGAGTAGGTGCTTTTTGGTAAATGCTTTTAGAATGAATGAATGGAGGAATCTTATTGATCTCAAGCTTTTAGAGTCATTCTTTTTCTTTTATTATTTTTTAAAAATAGCCCTGGCTGGTGTGGCTCAGGGGATCAAGTACTGGCCTGGGAACCAAAACGTCACCAGTTTGATTCCCTCTCAGGGCACATGCCTGGGTTGTGGGCCAGGTCCCCTGTTGGGGGCATGAGAGAGGCAACAGATCAATGTATCTCTCACATATCAATGTTTCTCTCCCTCTCCTTCTCCCTCCCTTCCCCTTTCTCTATATAAATAAATAAAATCTTATATATATTATGTTTATAAAATATATATTTTATATATATTATGTTTAAGATATTCTGTCAGTCTTTGAGATAGTGTTTATTCTGGTTTGGTTTCCATGCTCTCAATTCACTTATCTACTCTTACACGTTCACAATAACACAAAACATTTAAAGACTTTTGTCTGGCTAGAACACAAACACAGTACATTTCTTCCATTGATACCTGATGTGAGATATTATAAGAGAGGTGAAATGTTTCATAAAAATGATAAAATGTCATAATTATTATAATTTTCTATCTTTGGTATTAAGATACAAACCATTCTTTAATCCTATTATGTAATACAGGACCAAGACTGGATTCAGAAATATGATTTTCTTGTGAGAAGATTTAATTGTCTCCAAGACAGTTTCTAATACTTGCTATTCCACAGCTCCCTGGTCATTTCCTGGGATCCATACCACCCAGAGGTCTGGCTATTGTTTTCTTAGAAGTCTTCATAGCACAAAAGACCTGAGTACACCCCTCCCACTGGACAAGGTTACTTGCCCTCCTTGTAAGAAAATTTACATTGAAAGGTAAACTTCTATTCCAGAGAAGCTGACCTGCACCTACTTTTCTTAGTGTGACGTATTTACTTTCTGTGACACAAGATTATTTGAGTACCTCTAAGTGAATCTCACCAGAAAGGGGGAAAACAAAACCAAATTTTATCTTTGTGGACAACCTAGCACATTTGGAAATGCCTCAAGCACTTTTGCTCTAATAAAGGTCATTCTAAAATATAGACCACATCCAGGATGTCCTACGCTCACAAAACAAAGTGGCCGTGTTCCCTGCTAGCATGTGGGCATCTGAGGGAGAGGTCATATTCTCATCCCTGAATACAAGGAAAGCATCAACAGCAAACAACCACCCCCCCAACACTGATCTACAAACGACAGCAGCACATTCTCATTATGAATACAGGGGAAACCAACCTTACTTCTGCTCTATTGCTTGGATAGCGCTGTCCTAGGACACCAGAAATCAAGGCACAGAGTTTGAGGACAATCCTTGGAAATGTCACAATGGTAGACTGACTGTCAAATGAGATGGAACAAACCAGAAAGTGCTAGAAAAAGAAAAAGAGACAATTGGCCCAAACTGCTCATCAGCAAACCCTGCTGCCCCACCCCCACCCCCACACACATGCAGACACAGCCACAGCCTCTAGTTCCACACTTTTACACATTCTAGAGAATATCCTGGCCCTGAATGATATCCTGGGCCTTGAACAATATTTTTTAACTAAATGTTTTATTTTGAGAAAATTATATGCAGCTGTAGGGAGTAACACCCAGACATCCCACATGCGTTTTATCCAGTTTCCCCCAAAGAAAACATCTGCCCAAACTATAGCATAATATCACAAGCAGGATATCCACATTGCAGAAACAGAACATTTCCATCATGACAGTCCCCTACTGTTGCCCTCTCATAGCCACATCCAACCTCTCCCTAACCCCTGGCAACCACTAATCTGTTTTCCATTTTCATAATCAGTCATTTCAAGAATGTTACATAAATGTATAGGGCCATGTACATGTACATGTACAGTTACACAGCATATGGAACCTTTTGGGACTGGTTTTCCCCCTCCATAATTCTCTGGAGATCTGCATAGGACATTGGCTGTATGGATAGTTTATTCCTTTTTGTTGCTACGTGTTACACCATGGACTATCTTGTTTAAAATTTATTTTAAAATTATAGTTAACATACAATATTATATTAGTTTCAGGTGTACCTTATATACCATACAAAGAAATCACCATAAGTCTAGTACTTACCTTGCACCATACATTGTTATTAGAATATTACTAGCTATATGCTGTATTTTACATCCCTGTAACTATTTTTATAACTGGGAATTTGTACTTCTTAATATAGCTCAACATAAAAAACATTTTACTTTAAAAAATGGGTGGAGAACCTGAACAGATATTTCCCTGAAGACATGCAGATGACCAACAGACATGAAAAGATACTCAACATCACTAATCCTTAGGGAAATGCAAATCAAAACCACAGCAACTATTGACACAATGACTATTATTAAAAAGTCAACAAACAAGTGTTGGTGAAAATGTGGAGAAAGGGACCCTCTTGCACTGTTGGGACTCTAAATTGGTGGAAGAGCTATGGAAAACAGTATGGAATTTCCTGGAAAACTTAAAACTAGAACTATCATATGATCCAGCAATTCCACTTCAGGAATTTATCCTAAAATACTATTTCAAAAAGATATACACACTCCTATGTTCAATGCAGCATCATTTCCAATAGCCAAGATACAGACCTTCATTTTTAAAACTAGAGACCTTCCCAGGCAGGAGAGCTCCCCCTCTTCCAAGCACTGTGATCTCACAGCACTCAGCCAGGTCCTGCTTCCACCCTAGGCGGGGAAGGAGGAGGGAGTGGAGCGGAAGGCGGGGCCGGGGGCGGGGCTTAGGAGGATGGGCAGGGAGTCACCTTGGAGCTTGCAGTAGGCGGGGCGGGGCCAGAGGACTGGGAAGAGCGTCAACTTGGAGGAGGCAGTGGGTGGGGCGGGGCGTGGGAGAAGAGCCGAAAACGGGCCGTCTGGGCCAGTCTGGTGAGCAACCGAAGTCCATCCCAACTTTGGGCCCCCCAACTGGTCAGTCTGCCCACCGCCTGGCGTCTGCGAGTCCGCGGCAGGCCCCTGGCGCAGGCGTCCAGACCTTCCCTTTCGGAGGCGGGGGTCCGAGTCCTGTCTTTTCTTTCCTGGGCGTCCACCTGCGGGAGGGTAAGTACATCCCCTGGCCGGGCACCGGCGGGCTTGGGAGGCACAGGTCCCAGCACGCTGCTCTCTCTCGGAGGGGACTTGCAGAGGGGGAGAGGTTTCTGCAGATTTCACTTCCCAGCCAGAATGGGAACACGTGGTCTCCGTGGTTTCTGCTACCAGGGCTCATCGACCATTTCGAAATTAACATTTTACTTCACTCTTCCTAAACCTTCCTGCTTGTTAAGCCTGGTTGTAAGTGTTTAACAGATTCTCATTTAATCTGCTGTCAACCCTGTTGCAAAAGAGGAAATAGGGCATCTCAAGATCAGTTTGTAAAGGGGGTACCAAAACACCAGCTCCCCACAGTCAGCCTTTGTCAAGTATATTGTGGCAGTCTGTAACAGAACCTTAAAAAATAAGCGTCTTTAGCCTTTAATTTCCCTTAAAATATCAGCCAAAAACACATGAAGAAAGGGGAGTGTATTAAATACATGTATTAAATAATACATGCTTCCAGCAGTGCTTTTTATAGTTCTGGTGGGGGTCGGGGGTGGGGAGGAAATAACCGAAGTGCCCAGGAATAGAGAAATGGTCACAAATGAGCATACAGACACTGGTATATCTACACAGTGAAATGTTATCCACTCAGAGTGACAGGCATAGAGCCCATCCATATGTAAAAGAGGCAAAGAGAAAACACAAAACAGCATTTGAATGCTGACTAAAAAGAAATAACCTACATCAATAATATCAGCCCATTTGATATATATATATAATTATTTTTTAATAACCACATGGTTCTTTTTTCCTATTGACCTGGGTGAGTGCATAATTCCTAACTAAGAAGAAAAGATTACTGTGGAGTGGGGCACTAAGGAAGGTGACTGAACGAGAATTGAAGAGCACCTGACAGCAAGTCAAAAGCCTGGCTTGAATACTTTATTTTTGTAGCTTACTTATTGAGCCTTGGTTTCTTGCTCTATACAACAGGGAGAATTGTATAAGATGGGGAATCACAAACTCGAGTGCCTCAAGTGCCCAGGCATGTGATGTAAATATGTAAACTGGGACAAGAAAAAGGGTAGGGAATGGTGAGGCCTGGGGATACAGAGGAACACAAGTCCTGCTCATCCTAGGGATCTCAGGATAAGGTGTTATGTGAGTTTCAAGTGACACTGATAACCTTTTTTTATATATATATTTTATTGATTATCCTATTACAGTTGTCCCATTCTCTCCTCTTTATTCCTGTCTGGACTGTAGCCCTCCTCATACCCTCATTCCCCCATTTTAGTTTATGTCCATGGGTTGTACATATAAGTTCTTTGTCTCTCCGTTTCCTATACTATTCGTCAACCTCCCCCTGTCTATTTTGTATCTACCATTATGTTTCTTATTCCCTGTACCTTTTCTCCCATTGTTCCCCCTCTGCCTCCCTGCTGATAACCCTCCATGTGATCTCCATTTCTGTGAACCTGTTCCTGTTCTAGTTGTTTGCTTAGTTCATTTTGGGTTTGTTGGGTTTTTTTTTTTTTAGGTTCAGTTGTTGATAGTTTTGAGTTTGTTGTCATTTTACTGTTCATAGTTTTTTACCTTCTTTCTCTTAGGTTAGTCCCTTTAACATTTCATATAATAATTATGGGCTTGGTGATGTTGAACTCCTTTAATTTTTCCTTATCTGGGAAGCACTTTATCTGCCCTTCCATTCTAAATGGTCTGGGTAGAGTAATCTTGGATGTAGGTCCTTGCTTTTCATGATTTGGAATACTTCTTTCCAGTTCCTTCTGGCCTGCAAGATTTCTTTTGAGAATGACAGTCTTATGGGAACTCCTTTGTATATAACACTCTGCTTTTCTCTTGCTGCTTTTAAGATTCTCTCCTTATCTTTAATCTTGGGTAATGTAATTATGATGTGCTGTGGTGTGTGCTTCCAAATTTTTTGGAATGCTCTGACCTTCCTGGACTTCCTGAAAGTCTATTTTCTTTGTCAGATTAGGGAAGTTCTCCTTCATTATTTTTTCAAATAAGTTTTCAATTTCTTGCTCTTCCTCTTCTCCTTCTGGCATTCTTATAATTCAGATGTTGGAAGGTTTAAAGTTGTCCTGGAGATTCCTAAGCCTCTCCTCATTTTTTTGAATTCTTGTTTCTTTATTCTGTTCTGGCTGAATGTTTCTTTCTTCCTTCTGCTCTAAACCATTGATCTGAGTCCTAGTTTCCTTTCCTTCACTATGGGTTCCCTGTACATTTCCTTTATTTCACTCCACATAGCTTTCACTTTTTCCCGCTATTTTGTGGCCATACTCAACCATTTCTGTGAACATCCTGTTTACCAGTGTTTTGAACTATGCATCTGATAGGGTGGCCATGTCTTCATTGCTTAGTTGTATTTTTTTCTGGAGCTTTGATCTGTTCTTTCATTTGGGCCACATTTTTTTTTGTCTTGGTGCACCTGTTATGTAATAAAGGGTGGATCCTTAGGTATTGGACAGGGTGGGACAACCTCTTTCCTGTGTTGTGGCACTGTATGTGGGGGAGGGGTTGGAGAGGGAACAATGCTGGTCGCTCAGCTCTCTGCCAACTTTCAGTCACTTCCTCTGCTACCCACAAGCAAATTGGGCCTTTCTGGTGCTGATTCCCAGGTGGGTGGGTGTGTGTACATTCTAGGACCCTGTGGGTCTCTCCAATCAACTCTCCTGTGAGGCAGGGAGTTTCTCCTGCTGCCGAAACCCCCATAGGTTTTCTCAGTCAGAGGTTTTGAGGCTTTATTTCCTTGCGCTAGAACCCTGCATTGTGCAGTCTGTCTTGCTCCCCAGTTTTTCTTCCGGGGTTATCCGCACCCAAATGTGAGACCACCCACTCCACCAGCCACTGCTGTGTCAGGTCCTCCAGCTGCTGCCTGTCTCCACCCCTCCTACCTGTCTGGATGAATATTTCTTCTTTAACTCCTTGGTTGTCAGATTTCCATCCAGTTAGAGTTTCTGGCAGTTCTGGTTAGGTTTTGTTTTAAAATTTGTTGTCCTTTTGGTTGTGGGAGGAGGCAAAGTGTATCTTCCTACACCTTCATCTTGGCTAGAAGACTGATAACCTTTTAAAAAGGAATCAGTACATATCACATTCCTATTTAAGATGCTCCATTGGCTGTCTTGTTATGCTTAGAATAACATCCTCATCCGTGTACTGCAACCCACCCACCTCTGACTGCATTGTCCACCATACCTCTTTTTTTAACCATAGGCCAAACAGGTTTTAGAATACTCCATTTAGTTCCTACCTTATGCCTTTTACTAGGTATGCCCCCAGATCTTTGCATGGCTTGGTCCATATCATCATTCATTTATGCTCAGAGATATCTTGCTGGGCTACTCTATTGCAAATATCAAGTATACTCCTGCCATTTTATCTGCTAAAGTACTTTATTTTCTTATCACTATTACTATTAGCATTATTAGTAGTACTTACCACTATCTAGAATTATATTGTTGCTTTGCCTGCTTGTTTTATCTGCTTCCCCACCCCCACAACCCCAGAATAAAATTCCATCTTGCCTCTTTGGATCACCACAGTAGCCTCAGCACCTAGTGTAGTACCTGACCAGAGGGTGGGTGAATCCTCCAAGGCATGGATCCAGCTGAATGAATGTATAGATCAGTTAGGAAATGTGTCCCGCTCACTGCTAGTAATAGTCAACTCCAACAGCTTAAACACAATTTAGAATTTTATCTCATGTAAAGAAGTCTGGAGGCTGGCAATCCAGAACCATCTCACAGCTCTAAGAAAGCATCAGGAATCCAGGTTCCTTTCATGTTTCTGCTCTACCATCCTTAATCCATAGCCTCTACCCTCAGGGTAATGAGGTAACTCACCGAGCCCCCACTATCATTCCATAGTCCAATTCAAAAGAAGGCCAATGGCAAGGGGCCAGAATGGTGCCTCCCTCTCCTCACCACCCCCCCAACAGAGTCAGCTCCTTTAAGGATATGTCCACCTCAATGGCCACACTTAAGTGCAAGAGTGGCGGGGAAATATAGTCTAGCTGGGCACATTGACATGTGAATAAATTCAGGGATTGTTAAAGAACAAGAGGGGAGCCAAAGAAGCAGGCTCCTAACTATTTAATAGTCAATTTAAGGGAATGGGAAAGAACTTAAAATCACCTTTGAGACAGGAGGGCATTGAAGTTCCTATCTTCTGACTGATCAAAGCTGTTTGCTCCATCTCCACTTCAAGTGCCCTGCCTTCCTCCAACACTTACCTCACTTCCTGGCAATATTATGCATATCCTAGCTTTTTAAAAAATATACATTTTATTGACTATGCTATTACAGTTATCCCATTTTCTCTTTACTCGCCTCCACCCTGCACACCCTCTCCCACCCACATTCCTCCCCTTTAGTTCACGTCCATATGTCATACTTATAAGTTCTTTGGCTTCTACATTTCCCATACTATTCTTACCCGCTCCCTGTCTATTTTCTACCTACCCTCTATGCTACTTATTCTCTGCACCTTTTCCCCTCTCTCCTCCTCCCACTTCCCTGTTGATAACCCTCCATGTGATCTCTATTTCTGTGGTTCTGCTCCTGTTCTAGTTGTTTGCTTAGTTTGTTTTTGTTTTTGTTTTAGGTGTGATTGTTAATAATTGTGAATTTGCGGTCATTTTACTATACATGTGTTTTATCTTCTTTTTCTTAGATAAGTCCCTTTAACATTTCATATAATAAGGGCTTGGTGATGTTGAACTCCTTTAACTTGACCTTATCTGAGAAGCACTTTATCTGCCCTACCACTGTAAATGAAAGCTTTGCTGAATAGAGCAATCTTGGATAGAGGTCCTTGCCTTTCATGACTTGGAATACTACTTTCCAGCCCCTTCTTGCCTGCAAGGTCTCTTTTGAGAAATCAGCTGACAGTCTGATGGGAACTCCTTTGTAGGTAACTGTCTTCTTATCTTTTGCTGCTTCTAGGATTCTCTCCTTCATTTTAATCTTGGCTAATGTAATTATGATGTGTCTTGGTGTGTTCCTCCTTGGGTTCAACTTCTTTGGGACTCTCTGAGCTTCCTGGACTTCCTAGAAAGCTATTTCCTTTGCCAGATTGGGGAAGTTCTCCTTCATTATTTGTTCAAATAGCTTTTTCACTTGTTGCTCTTCCTCTTCTCCTTCTGGTACCCCTATAATTCGGATGTTGGCACCTTTAAAGATGTCCTGGAGGTTCCTTAGCCTCTCATTTTTTTCTGAATTCTTGTTTCTTCATTCTTTTCTGATTGGATGTTTCTTTCTTCCTTCTGGTCCACTCCATTGATTTGAGTCCCAGTTTCCTTCCCATCACTATTAGTTCCCTGTGCATTTTCCTTTATTTCACTTAACTTGGCCTTCATTTTTTCATCTATTGCACCCAAATTCAACCAATTCTGTGAGCATCCTGGTCACCAGTGCTTTGAACTGTGCATCTGATAGGTTGGCTATTTCTTCATCGCTTAGTTGTATTTTTTCTGGAGCTTTGATCTGTTCTTTCATTTGAGCCATTTTTTTTGTCTTGATATGCCTGTTATGTAGTGAGGGGGGAGCCTTAGGTATTCACCAGGGCGGGGCAGCCCAGTCTCTGGGTTGTGACACTGTTTGTGGGGGCGGGATCTGAAAGGGAGCAATGGTGCTTGCTCCACGCTCTGCAGGATTTCAGTCCCTTACACTGCTTCCCCCAAGCAAACTGGGCCTTTCTGGTGCTGATTTCCATGTGGGTGAGCTTTTGTACATTCTAGGACTCTGCAGATCTCTCCAACGAACTCTGCTGTGAGGCTAGGAGTTTCTCCCAGGACCTCAACTCCCACAGGTGTTTTCAATCGGTGTTTTGAGGCTTTGTTTCCCCATGCTGGGGCCCTGGGCCATGTGGTCTCCCGCTCCCCCGTTTTGCCTGGTTTATCTGTGTGGGAATGTGGGACCACCCAGTCTGCCAGCTGCCTGGTGCTCTGTGCCCCTCCATAATCCGCCACCTCACTGCATTTGCCTGCTGCCACCCGGAGCCCAGGGTCTGCCAGCCATGGCCTTTTTTGCTGCGACCCCTCTCCGCTCATCTGCCAGACTCAGCCCCTCCTACCGGTCTGGATGAATGTGTGTATTTTAACTCCTTGGTTGTCCGGCTTCCATACAGTTCAATTTTCTGTCAGTACTGGTTGTTTTTTTTGTTTCTAATTTTTTGTTGTCCTTATCTTGGTTGTGCAAGGAGGCACTGTGTGTCTACCTATGCCTTCATCTTGGCCAGAAGTCCATATCCTAGCTTTTTATCTCCTGGCCAGTATCCAGCACCCTGAAAGGTTCTGATTCAGGCTGTGCTCCTGATTCCAGTGTGGCAGTGGATAAGCCCAATTCCTGTCTCTGTTTTGTTGTCATTGTTGTTATCCTGTGAAGATGCACTCATATTGAAATCGTCATTTAGGCAGCATCTCCACACTGGCCTTGAGCTGGTTGTTTTCTGGCAGAGGGAGCAGGTGTGTTGGAGGGCCCTGTCTTCCCCAGAATGAAGCCAGTTACTGAGGATTCAGGTCTCCCTCATGCCTGTGAGGCAATCAAGGGAGAGCTAACTTTTTTTCAGAGCCTTTTTATGTGCCAGCCGCCATGCGTATGTACTATCTGTCTTGCTCTTCTCAGACATTCTTGTACTTTCTAGACCATGGTAGTCATGGGAGCCGTCAAATTTCTTACCAATACCCCTGCCGTTTATTCAGCTACATTGATTATGTGGAAGGAAAATTTGGGAGAGGGAGGAAGGACAGAGACACGATGCTGCTTCCTATCAGATGTCTCACTTCCCAGGACTTTTCCTCTATGGCTGCCTCTACAGAAGGTTCTGAGTCCTCTCAAAATAAAAATGGTTTTGGCATCCTGTATGACCTGTCCTTTGAGGCCTGAATCTCCAGAGTTCTTTCCCTCTTTTTTTTTTTTTGATTCCCAAGTTTTATTCAATAACTCATACAAAAATGTGCCAAATAAATGAGTTTTAATCTTCATCTTCCTCCTCTTCATCCTGGTTAATGTGGAAGTAACACAACTTGTGACTTTCTTTGCTATTAGCAACTACATCCAACCAATCATGGCAATTATTTTTCAAATATTTTTTGGTAAGAGATTTCAAATACATTTTGGGAGAAGACACCTCAGAAGTTACAGTGATCTTGCTCTTTCTTTTTTCAATGGTTACACCCCTCCACTAAGATTCCCATCTTTTCCAATCACTTTGATTCTCTCTTGAAGAAACTCTTCAAGATTGGCAGCATCCATGCCTCTGTTTTCTACTGGGTGGGTACAGTCAAGGGTAAACCTTGCCCCCCTTTGCCACAAGCTTTTTCATAGGAACCATGGTGGTGGTAGAAGCAGAAAGGGTGGTTCTTTGCCTTTCTTGGAAATCCTTTTTCCTGATATGTTTGCATGTCCTCCACAAAGTGATGGTGAGGCTTAGAGCCAGTACATCAGCCTTACCACCTTGTCTCCCCACCTTCTTCAAGTGTTTGTTTTTCTCTTCTAGATCGTTGAGGTCACTGGGGAGAACAACCACATCTGAAAGTCTGGGGCCCGCTACACCAAATCATTCTGTGCCCAGGATCAATAGCAAACCTTCCTTTTGACCTGTCAGAGAAAAAAAATTCATCATCCTAGAATATGGCAGGTGACTATTAGCTATGGGGGAGTTAAACTTTTTTAAATTAAATTTTTAATTAAAAATTGAATATGTTGTTTTAAAAATCCAAACAACACTGAAGTGTATAAAACTTGTTTATAATGTGGATTGCTACCTTGAATTACCTTATTCTGTATTTTCTTACTTGTTTTATTGTCTATTTAAATCCTACCAAAATACAAGTTCCTCAAAAGTAAGGGCCATGTTATCCAGTCTCTTGAGTGATCCCAGGGAGTAGTAGATGCTCAATAAATAGTTGAGTAAGTGAGGCCTAGGAGTAACCATGGTTAGAAATTCAGTATGACTCCCCATCTTAACTTGTGTCCTGCTCATGACAGATACCCCATTCTGCGACATCTTTTTTCTCTCAACAATATAACATGAAAATCCTTTCATTTCAGAAGATAAAAATCCACTCTAAATATGATATTATATATTAGGATTTCTCCACCTCAGCACTGATGACATTTTGGGCCAGATAAGCCTTTGCTTCATGCATTTTCAGATGTATAGCAGTATCCATGAGGCTCTATCTACTAGATGCCAGTAGCTCCCCCCACCCTGGCTTGTGAAAACTGAAAGTGTCTCCAGATATTGTGAAATTACTCCTGGGAGGCAACACTGCCTCTAATTGAGAATTATGGATATAGATATTGCATTCCATTTTCCTATTAAGCCCCCAAGCAGAGTCCATTCATTTAAAAATGAGTATGAGAAGTTAAAATAAAAAATATTAGTCATTAATCTAACTCATGGAATTCAACCTTCATACTCAGTTGAATGCCCCGAAATTGTTTGCTTTAGACTAACCTTTGTATTTTCTCCTTAAGGACCTAAACTGAAAGTTTTAAATCAAAAGGTTAAACATTTTGGCCTTAGCCATCACCTGGGAAAATTTAAGCAAGTCACCAGAGCTGCATCCCCTGCAAAAATCAGTACATATTCTCACATGAACAAGGGGAATACTACTTCAGAAGCTGTTGGTAATAATGACACATCAGGACCTATAAGACCTGACTCTTTTTAGACTTCTTGTCATTATCACCACCAAAAGCAGGGTTCCTCGTGGGCCTGCCTTCCCTGTAGTAGTACTAGGAACCCGATTTTGATATTTCATTTAAGTGTGAAACTTTGATGGGGCTAAAGGAAGGGAAGCAGAACTGTGTCAGTAGCTGGTGCCTGCCAGTGTAGGGTTAGCACAAAAGATAAGTTATGGTACTTTTTTATTTTGATGTTCAAGAATAGGGCTATAACTTCTCATAAAGGAAAACTAAAATAGATTGAGTAGGGTTTTAAAGAACTTAGTTGTATGACTTTTGAGGAATCATAATTTGACCCATTGTATATCTGTATATCAGTAAACTCAAGTACCAATGAGCTATGATATGACTGGATTAAACACTCAGTAAAAAGGTTGGTGTTTCTTAGCTTCAGTTACTGTAATACTCCTACATATTTCATTTTTGTCTTAGTCCTTATTAAATTTTGACAAAGAGGAGTTGCTCTTTAAGAGAAATGATTTCTTCTCTGGATTTAGGTAAAAAAGTGCTCATCATCTATGCGCACCAAGAACCTAGATCTTTCAATGGATCCTTGAAGAAAGTGGCTGTGGACGAACTGCACAAGCAGGGCTGCACTGTCACTGTTTCGGATCTCTATGCCATGGACTTTGAGCCGAGAGCCACAAGGAAAGATATCACTGGTAAGTCATGAGTCACAAGCTCCATGCTTTTTAAAACTTCCTGCTTTGCATGTGTATATTTTATATGGAGGTATAACTGATACAACATTAGTTTCTGGTTTATAGTGTAATGATTCAATATATGTATATACTGCAAAATGATGACCACAATAAGTCCAGTTAATGCTCATCATCTCACAGTTATAAATTTTTTCTCCCTCATGATGAGAACTTTTAAGATTCACTCTCCTAGCTACTTTCAAATATACAATACAGGCTTATTTACTGTAGTCACCATGCTGCATATAACATTTTTATGACTTAATCATTTTATAACTGGAAATTTGTACCTTTTGACCCTGACACCTGTATTGCCTGCTCCCCAACCCCTGCCTTAGCCAACCACCAATCTGTTCTCTATACCCATGAATTCAGTTACTTTTGTTTGGTTTGGGGGATTTGTTTGTTCTTTTTTTTTGTTTTTTAAGTTCCATGTGTAAGTAAGATGATACAATATTTATCCTTTTTAGTCTGACTTATTTCACTTAGCATAATACCCTCTGGGTCCATTCATGTTGTTGCAAATGGCAAGGTTTTTTAATTCTTTTTTTGTGGCTGAATAACAGTATTTCATTGTATATATACCACATTTTCTTTATCCATGCCTTGGCTATTGTAAATAAAGCTGTAGTGAATATGGGAATGCCTTTATTTTTTTAAATTAGTATTTTTGTTTTCTTCAGATAAATACTCAGAAGTGAAATATCTGGGACATAAGGTAGTTTAGTTTTAATTTTATGAGGAACCTCCATGCTATTTCCCATAGTGGTTGCACCAGTCTGCATTCCCACCAACAGTGTACAAGGGTTCTCTTTTCTCCACAACCTCACTAACACTTGTTATTTCTTGTCTTTTTTATAGTAGCCATTCTAACAGGTGTTAAGTGATATCTCGATGTGGTATTGATTTGCATTTCCCTAATAGCTAGTGAAGTTGAGGACCTTTTCATGCATCTATTGGTTATTTGTATGTCTTCTTTGTAAAAAAGTCTATGCAAGTCCTCTGTCCATTTTTAAGTCATTATTTCTTTTCTTGCTTTCTAAAGCATTTTTAAAAATGTTACATTTATTTATTTTTAGAGAGGGGAAGGGAAGGAGAAAGAGAGGGAAACATCAGTGCATCTTACCTCTTGCACACCCCCCACTGGGGACCTGGCCTAAAACCCAAGCATGTGCCCTAGACTGGGAATTGGACTGGCAATGCTTTGGTTTGCAGGCCAGAGCTCAATCCACTGGCCACACTAGTCAAGGCACTTTCTATTTTTTTAATTAAAATAAGTTTTGGAAAAAACAGTAATTATTGCACATAATGTACAATTCTCAAGTCAAGAATTCCATGGTGCAAGTTTGTTTCCCATCCCTCGGACACTCAGTTTCATGGCCTTTGAGGTAATGTGTTAGTCATTTTCTCAATATCCTTTCGGATAGAGTCTGTGCTGTGTAAAAGAAGTATAGTCTCCATTTTCTCTACACTTTAAAAATAATGGTAGTATATTATACATGTTGTTTTGCACATTGCTTTCTTTTTTTCACTGGTGCAAACTATTCCATTATATGTGGAAGCCCCTACTTTAGGGCCTGTATTAAGTAGTCCCTACTAAAGGGCACTTTAGATTGTTTTTCATCTTTTGCTGTTATAAACAGTGCTGCACTGAATAATCATGTCTATATGTGTTTTCTTACATATGCTAGTATATCTAGAAGTAAAATGGCTGGCATGAGGGAATGTACATTTTTAATTTTCATAGGTAATATCAAATCGCTTTCCATAAATATTGTACCAGTTTACACTCCTACCAGCAATGTTTGCAACTGCTCATTTACTCATTGTCACCACCAACAATATTACCAATTTTTGATAATTGCCAATCTTACAAGTGAAAAAATGATCTCCTGGTATAGTTCTAATTTGCATTTTTCTCACTATAAGTGAGCTTTACTATTGTGGGGGAGGAAGAAATTTTCCTCTGTTCTTCTAGGTTCTTCTGGCTGGTCTAAGTCAAATAGACATAAGACACATCAACAAGAGAAAGTAACCAGCCCTGGCCTGCTACCTCAGTTGGATAGAGCATCATCCTGATACACCAAGGTTGTGGGCTTGATCCCCAGTCAGGACATATACAAGAAGCAATCAATGAATGCATACATAAGTGGAACAACAAATCTCTGTTTCTCTCATTTTCTGTTTCCCCCCTCTGTCTCTAAATATCAATACATTTTTTTTAATTTTTAATAATTATCACTTTCTTTTTTTATATATATATTTTATTTATTTATTTTTTAGAGAGGGAAGGGAGAGAGAGAGAGAGAGAGAGAGAGAGAAACATCAATGTGCGGTTGCTGGGGGTTATGGCCTGCAACCCAGGCATGTACCCTGGCTGGGAATCGAACCTGGGACACTTTGGTTCCCAGCCCGCGCTCCATCCACTGAGCTACGCCAGCCAGGGCAATACATTTTTTTAAAATAACCAAATTTAATCATATATGTATTAGAACCCCATGTACATGAGAGAGTCAGAGACCCCACATACATGAGAGGTTCAGAGACAGAGAGGGAAAATGTGATATATATGGCATTCTGAGCTAAGAATGAGGTAAAGTACCTGGGGCTTCACAGGGGAGGAAGGGCATTCAGAGGAAGATAAAAAGAGCAGATGTTCAGTAATGAGAAGTTAACCCTACCGTATAGATGGATCATAAGAAGTTACTTTGGCCAATAACATTTATTACTGGCAAGGTCTCTAATTCAAAGTCTTTACAGAAGAGGAAAGCCAGCAGGATCTAAGCTGCCTTCAGCTCAAAATAATTAACTTGCCAAAGTGGCACACATCTTCCAGAGGCCTGTTCTGAACCCTTCATTCTTGCCTTTGAACCTTCCTGAGAAGTTTCACATTTCAGAAGTTGGGTTGATAGATTGTTCCAGATCTGATTAAACCAGTCTCAGTCTTGAGAAAAGTTTAGTTTATTTAAACAGTTATACCTGATTTCAGGTGTCGGTGATGCAGGTGGTTCCCAAAGTTAGTCCTGTGGTCTCAGCAATCAGGAATTTATTAGGAGGCATCTCTATAGAAACAAAAGAAAAACAATGGTTAATGATTGGAGCTGACTGTAATCCCAGTTTCTAAGTTCTGAAGGCAGTCAGTTGAGAAGATTCCTAGATATTTGGCTCAAAGCATCTTAAGATGGAGTGAAGTCAGGCAATGACAGTCTGACAGATTCTCCTGGTTTTCGGTTTGAATGTCTCTGGTGATCTCTCTGCAGCAGGCACAAAGATTGTCCACATATGAGCTGTTGTAATTTCTCTGAAGTTTATGTCAAGTTGTCCCATTTTTACCTTGCTTGGCTTTATGAAAAGGGCAGTTTTAGTTCTCAGTGATTCTAAATCAAAGGATGGGAGAAAAATTGAGTCATTAGTTTGGAGAGTTACATCCAGATATTCAAGGAAGCAAGACGACTTCTAGATTTAGTAGTTTATGAGTAGAAACAAAACCTCAAAAGATAATGAATAACACTGAACTCGAACATCCACAAAGGTATATTACTGAAATGTAATTTTTTTCTAAAGCCACCACCATTTTTACCAAAATTAGTCAAATTAAGACTAATTTGTTTGCAAAATTGGTCTAGTTTCAATACACTTGACCTGTTATTTACATAGGTGCAACATCAATGTAATTAACCATATAAAGCTCTTTTAAATCTGTTTTGCTGGAATTTATCATAATCTTCAGATTGAACTTTTAAAGGCCTCTCAAGGCTAGGAAAGCAAAGGTAAGGACCTGCCATCATACTTTTCCAGCAATACCTATATGTTTGGGTGAGTTCCTCTCTTCTTGAGGTCCCCAAAATATAGTGAAGTTCCTGCATCTGCCAGGAAGTGACCTTCCTTACTTACCTGGAAAGGTTTCCAGGAAACCTGTAAACAAGGTGTCAGGCCAGTATTTCTAAGGATTTTATTGTCTTCTGTAAGTCAGTCTTAATTCCTTAAAGCTCTGGTCATTTCTGAGTCTGTGCATGTCTTCTCATATAAGACATTCCAGTCAGAGCCTTGGTAATATAACCAGTTTCTAATTGCATACTGTTACAAGGAAAGATTCTTATAGAACTTGTCCAAATGACAATATTGCCTTGAAAATAAGAATTCTCACTAGAGTTTCTGAATTCTGGAGGGTTCAAGTAGTGAGAAAAAGATAAATGTTTCAATTCTGCTTACAAAGTTGTTAACATGTTGTTCTAAGTCATAGGTAACTTAAAAGCAAAATTATTTTATTAAATCCATTAAAAATATTAAAGGACCAGCAATAGTTCAGACAAGGCTGGGAACGTTCAGGGTGGTACAGCCATAGACTGGACCAGCAATATTTCAAACAAAATGCCATAAAAGTTATAATCATCCTCACTAGTTCATTCAGTCCTTTGTAATTAAGACTTATTCTGCCTGAATTCTGTTTTCCATTCATTCTCTCAACCTTGCCTGATGATTAGGGGTGATCAAGTCAGTGATAATTCCAAGAAGTTTGCAAAGCTTTCTATTGAGGCTCATATGACTTGCTCAGTGAAGTGGGTGCCTTGATCACTGGAAACTATGGAAAGTATACCACACAGGAAACACAAATGAACAGTTTCTGTGCCACTGTGAGGGTATCAGCCTTGCAGCAGGGGAAGGCTTCAATTGATATGGAAAACATACATACAACAACAGGAGCATATTGATAAGCAAAACTAAATGGCAGTTGAATAAATGTACTACGGCGGAGGAAGGCAGGCAAAAACCAAAAAAGGGTTTGCCGAGGAGCAAGAAGAACCAAGAAGCAGTCTGGGATCACAGCCCCAACTATTTATTTAATTTATAGCCATTGTTTACCCATCTTAATTTCTCTGATTCAGGAGCAGCCTCTTGCCATGTTGCAAAGATATCAAGATGGCAAAAGTCTGGCAATGATGAGCCACTTTTGCAGAAGCAGAATAGGCTTCATCTACATGTGCCCCAATCTTTATAGATTTGCTGTGGCCATTGCATGAAAGTCGGTTAAGGCTTTTCAAATACAGAAGGGCAGTTCTTACCATTGAGTAGATTAAGTTTTCTTAAGTAATGAAAGACCTCATTAAGACAACATAAAACACAATATTATTTTGATAAAACACAGAATCTTTTCTTAGCAGAAAACTTTTCACAGTATCTTTTCAGGAGCAAACCAAGAGTCCAAAAAAACTTATCTTCTTAGCATATAAGAATATTAAGTTTGAGTATACTATTGATATATGCTTATTTTTAAAACTCTTAATGAATTAGCTCAATCATATATAAAATTCCTTTCTCAAGATTGCTTTTTCATAAACCTTCTACAACTTTCTGCATCCATTTTAGTTCATCTCTTGCTCTCTTACCCATTCTGAAACAACCAGAATAAAGTTACTTTCATTTTCCTTAATGAAAACACATTTCTTGCCTGTTTTTAAAGCCCAAATGCATCCTGCTTTTCTTGTATACACAGTTGCTTTTCATATTAGTTTTCAGTAGCTTTAATTACATATTGGAATTTTCCCCCGCTTTCTGCTCAATCCTTCTACCCCCTATGCACCTTGCCCTTACGTGTCATCCTGCTTTCTATCTATGAGTCTGTCTCTATTTTGCTTGATAATTCAGTTTGTTTATTAGATTCCACATATGAGTGACATCATATGGTATTTGTCTTTCTCTAACTGGCTTATTTCACTTAGCATAATATTCTCCAGGTCCATCTATCCTGGAATTCTTAACCACTATAAAGAAACCTTAATTTCTAGTGATAAGTAAGAAGTAAGCAATTGTGAATTGTACCAGTATTCCTTAGATTGATAAATTTATAAATATATTTTGTAATTTCTAGAAATATGTGATCATAATCATAGTATAGTCTTTCCATTTGGCACAAGACATGTTTACTAACAGATTAAATTTATTTTTTCATTTCTCTTTAATAACAAGCCAAAGGTAGATAAATCTATGTTCAATAATTAATATTTTATTATTTTTTCTTATTTGGAAATGATCTGGATATTTACTGAATTTAACTAGGCTCATCATTTAATTTAACTTGACTCTAAGGTTCAAGTTATCAAAAGATTTACAACACCACCCCGACTGGTGTGACTCAGTGGATTGAGTGCCCACCTGCGAACCAAAGGGTCATTGATTCAATTACCAGTCAGGGTACATGCCTGGGTTGCAGGCCAGGTCCCTCATTGGGGGCGCACAAGAGGCAACCACACATTGGTGTTTCTCTCCCTCTCTTTTTCCCTTCCTTTCCCTCTCTCTAAAAATAAATAAAATCTTAAAAAACAGATTTAGGAAACCATTTTTAAATACACATAAAATATAGTTATTACTAAAAAGTTTACCTAAAATAACCCTTTTTCTACTTATATTTATTTAATTTACTTGTTCTTAACAATTATGTTTAGGTTACTTATGAAAATTTCCTTATACTGAGTTATTTTTTTTGCTGACAGATTTTACAAGAAAGATAACATGAACTTATTTGACTGAAAAAGCCAGGTAGAACAAAAGTATTACATGCCAATAATTCTAGATACATGCCTATTTAACCAAACCAAACTCAAACCAGCTTTAATATCAAATATTTTCCCCCAGATCACATGATCCTGAAAAACATTTGGGTTAGTTCCTACTATATTTTTGAAAATTTTAATATGAGTTTGTCTGGCGACTTGCTTTGGGGAGTGCAGGGTAAATGACTCTAGTGGGATTGGCTTGGATGGGCCGTGGGTGCTCCTCTGAGACTGAAAACCTTTGGCCTCTTCCTCTGAAGGTCCTCTTTCTAATCCCGAGTTCTTCAGTTACGGGGTGGAAGCGTATGAAGCCTGCAAGAAGAGGTCTCTTACCAGTGACATACTTGATGAGCAGAAAAAGGTTCAGGAAGCTGATCTAGTGATATTTCAGGTTTGTTTCCTTCTAATCATTATAAATGAATTAGATACATTCTATATACAAATTCTTTCCAAGTATTCAATGTCATGCTCCTAGAGGTGGCATTGATGTTTTCAGCACATTTGCACACTCATTCATGTCTACTTAGATGAGAAGATCCATGCAGTCAATGCCACTTACTCAAAATCCTGACCCCCAAGTACATAGGAAGTATTTTGCCTATAGGTCAGTGGTCCAAGAAATGCCTGAATCATGCATATCATGTTGCCTCATTCCCCTCTGACCCCACCCCCAGACAGGCAGGGGCTGCATGAAAACCAAATTTGCCTATACCAGGTCAAGTGCAGCCTCTGCCTTAAATATTCTGATCATTAAGAGGAAAATCTTTAGTTTCCTGCCTTTCACTGGTTACCTCACCCACCCACAATCCCTGTGTTCATTCACAAATTGTTCCAGGGTCATGTGATTCACTACAGAAAGAACTGGCGTAGGACACTGCTGCTAAGGACACTGCTGCTAAGGACTCTAACTCATCATGGCCACTCCCTGCCACAGGCCTGCAGTCATGGATGTGACCCTAAGCCTGACAGCAAAATAAACATGTGCTTTTTGGGAATCATTGGGTTGGTGGAAATCAAAGTCAAACTGGAAAAAAAAAGGGGAATTTATTCTAAGGGCCCTGGTCACATGGATGTTCTGGAACCAAGGCCAGACTGTGGCAGGGGAGAGAGGGAGCAGAGGCTTGGACACCTCTGCTCTTTCTTTCCCTGAGTCTCATTTGCTTCTCTCTGCCTGTTGGCTCTGTCCTCTCACTTCACACCAAAGACTGGAGTCTCTAGATCCAAAATCTCCCAGATGGAACTGATTGGTCCAGATTGTCTCCAGCCCTGACTGAGTGCTGGAAGGGGCCAGGAAAACAAGATCAACCTTTTCTGGCACCAGGACAATGGGGTAGATCAGCACTGGCCTCAGAACCACGGGCAGCTCTCTCGCTCTTTTTCCTGTCTCCCTGGGGTCAGCTGACCACTCATGTAACTGGGTAGCTAAAGCAAGCCAAGGCCTGTTCTTTTAATAATGGGTTTTTTTTAACCCTGCCCCGTGTCACATTTCTTCTCCCACTCACCTCCCCTCTTTCTGACACTTTGCTCAGAAGGTGTACATTGCTAGTTTATTTCTTTCATTCAGCACCACTGCCACTGTCACCATAGCTCACTCCTCCCTGAGTCAATCTGCTCTGGATCCTTACCACAATGCTGGAAACTAAGAGTAACTCTATTTGCAAACTGGGAAAAGGGGGCACAGAGTACTTAAATAACTTGCCAGTATCTCAAAGAAGTAGGTTGCGAAGCTTGGATTTCAGTGCCAAGTCCTGAGTTAGATTTATGGTGAAACCACATGAAGCTTCCTTTCACCTTTAGTAACAGACTATTGTCTGTGTCCATCTCTTTTCACTGATGACGGTGTGGGATATAGTGTTAGGGCTCCCATGGGAACTGAGAGAACTTCAGGGAGATCTTACTGCTGGTGTGTGGAATCTGAGGGGTAAGGCTTTAGTTTGTGTCAAAATTTGAAGCCTCTCAGAACCTAACTCAGTCTGACCCGCAGATGCCAGCAGCTCATCCCCAGGCACACAAAAAGGCAGACTCTTTCTACACCCTTCCTCTCGTTCTCCCCATTGCATCGGTCACAGAGACTGCTGCCAGGAGCCAGTGTCTAGCAGAGCATCCCAGTGCCTTCCTGTCTGCTCAGGGACCAGCATTCAGGGGCTGTCAGTGAGGAATGCAGAGTCACCTGTAACAACCTTGTCAACTCCTCCCCACCCCACCCCACCAGCACACATCCACACTGCATGCCTCAGAGTGAAAGAGAAGAAATATCCTCACTTGTGATGCCCCGTGGGTCACACTTCACTGCTCAGTCACCCTGGAAGAGGACAGCAGGATTCCTTTTGGGTCACCAGGGAGACTAAACTATGAAACCTGAGACAACCACAGCGTTCATTTGTCTTTGGTGTTTCCCCAGTTCCCACTGTACTGGTTCAGTGTGCCGGCCATCCTGAAGGGCTGGATGGACAGGGTGCTGTGCCAGGGGTTTGCCTTTGACATCCCAGGATTCTATGATTCCGGTTTTCTCAAGGTATGTTCTCTGGGATGAGGATCACTATAGACCAAGGGAGGGATGGGATGTATCTCATGTTATACTTCTAGTTTGCTTTTTCAAAAACAAGTACTGGTGGAGCACCAACTATGTGTAAAGAAAGCCCTGTGTGCTGCCCGTGGGTGAAAAACCATTATTTCTGAAATCTTGGAGATTTGTCTATCAAGTAAGGGATACAGAAGCACCCACAACTCTCTGGTGCATGGCTAAGGGCCTGGGCTGGTGTCAGGAGGGTGGACTGGGCCATAGGGTGGTCAGCCCTGGCTCTGAGAGGGTTGTCTGCTCTGCCCCCGGATGGAGTCTAGCCCTGGCCTCACCCAGTTCACATCTCAGAGCTTCACATGGAACCTGGTAGATACCCAATACATGGTAGCTGTGAATTTCTTACCAAAATACATGATTTTTAAAATTCTAAAAGCCTCAGAAAATAGTGCACACAAGGAAAACACTGAGTCACGAAGATCCAGTTTGGACTAGAAGTAATGCTACCATTTACTGAGTGGGGCCATGCATGAGCACCACCTGCCACCTCATTCAGTCCCAGCTGCCTCCCAGCTGCCCACGTTGTGCCTGGGCCTCACCCACTTCTCACTCCACAGCACCAAAGCCTCCTGTCTGCTAGAAGAAGGGGCAGGGCAGAACTGGGTAGTGGCCCAGTCCATTCCCTCTGACTGCTCCTGGTCATTGTAATGCTTGTGCCAGAGTCACAGTAGCATTTATTTGTCTCCTCCTCTGGAGTTCACATAAATACATTTGCTTTCTCCACTGCAGGATAAATTGGCCCTCCTCTCGATAACCACGGGGGGCACAGCCGAGATGTACACGAAAACTGGAGTCAGTGGAGATTTTAAATACTTCCTGTGGCCCCTCCAGGTAGCCGCCGCACCTCACCCTGTCTCTCTTTCCCCTGCAACTTTCCCCAGTACAAAATGAGATGCACCTGAAGCCTGAAACCTAGACCATTTTGACTCCACCTGGATACAGGAAATTATATTTTACTTTTTAATGCTTTAGTGGCAATGCAAAGGTTGGCCAGTGGGGATGAACATGTGTTATAATGATATGCTTCAATATTGTTTGGGGGGAAGGTAAGCTAAACCTGGTTAGCTGAATCAACTCCATGGTAAACAGGATTGTCCCACGTGGGCCTGTGGGGGCACTGAGGGCTGCAGAGCTGTAGTGTCCTTCAGAGGCCATGCTCAAGCCCTGGCTAGAGGTGCTGGAGGAGCCTGGCATTCTGGACAGTCTCACCTGCAGTACAGGTGAGGTTCACAGAGCCAGGGGCTGTGTCTCCTTCCCAAAGCAACCCCCACTCCAGGTTCCCAACACTCAGGACTCAGAGCCCGCTTTCCCAGGTGAATGCTAGCTGCCTACATGTGCACTGCTGAGCGCTGGGCCCAAGAGGCAGCCAAGGATGGCTGTCTGCAGAGGGGCAAGCAGTGGGGCAAGGCATGTTGAGCAGGCTTTGAGGAGGAGAGAGCTCTGGTCAGGCCACCAGATGGCAGTAAAGAATTCCATGGAGACCCAGAAACCTAAATGGAAACTGTTCTTCCAAGTTGTTATACAGGGAGGGAATGGTGACATATTTACATTTGTGAGCTCCCTTTTATTTTTTTAAAACTATTTTTTAAAAAGAGAGAGGAGAGGGAGAGAAACATCAGTGTGTGGTTGCCTCTCACACGCCCCCTGCTGGGGACCTGACCCTCACCCAGGCTTGTGCCCTGACTGGGAATGGAACTGGCAACCTGTTGGTTTGCAGGCTGGTGCTCAATCCACTGAGCTACACCAGCCAGGGCTGTGATCTTACTTTTAAAATGTGACAGTAATGTGTGGGCCTCTTGACCTCCCACTACCCTGATGGGGCAGGCCTGGACAAGGGTGTGGGTTTTCAGGAAAGGAATACAAAGAGAAGTGAGTGATATTTTGAGGGGAGGGGGAAGGAAGTGGTCTTCTTTGAAAAAGATGACACAGTGATTCCATTTAGTGATGCTGTGCTGAAAGAAAAGGTAATTTACAAGCCTGGACTTTTTTCTCCATAAGCTAGCTGGTCTCTTACATGCCATTAGCCAAGTTAAATTCTTCTTGTATTTTAGAAATTTTTATATTTTTTCAGTTTGAAAAAGTATATATTATAGAAAAAATGAGGCTATAAAAGTAGAAAGTCCTCTTAATTTCACCTTAAAATAATCATTTTTAATATTATGGATTTCCTTATGGCTCATATATCGTCTTTCATACACACTTTTTATTATTTGGTTTATTACTTTTTTTTTACTTAAATGGTATACCATAAATATTGTTTCAAACTCCTTATTGTTTTCATTTAACACACATCTTAACTTTCCAGATGGCACATTATAGCTAGAATAATCTCATTCTAGAATAATCCATCATATGAATATATCATAATTTGCCTAATCAATCAAAATCATGAAGTTTAGTGTCTGAATCAATAGCAAAGATTACAGATTAATCTCAATTTTCATAACAGAATTTGGAACTTGCAGGTGCCTAGAGTTCACCTCCCTGGTACAGGCCAGCATCCTAAGGTTATGGGGCATTTAAATTGTTTTTGGTCACCCGGTAGCATTAAAGTTGTTCAGTTGTTTTTTTAAGTTTTGTGTCATATCATCTCCCTTAAATTATTTAACTGAATGATAATGTAAAGGGTATAGCTTCTAATTAATTCTTTTCTTTCTTTATGGCTATAGCATGGTGCATTGCACTTCTGTGGATTTAAAGTCCTTGCCCCTCAGATCAGTTTTGCTCCTGAGTTTGCATCAGAAGAAGAAAGAAAGGCGATGGTGGCGTCTTGGGCCCAGAGGCTGAAAACCATCTGGAAGGAAGATCCTATCCCCTGCACACCCTCTTGGTACTTTGGGCAATAACGCTCTCTGTCATGTACACATCACACGAGCAACACACCAGGAGATGCAAGCACATGCAAAGAGAACACGATGCTGTAATAACATTAAATTATAACAAAGTTAGCTGGATCTGTTTAATGGTATGCATGAATGAGTGTCTTCATGGTTTTAAATAGCCAGACCCAAAAATTCAGTAATCAGCTGGTTGTATTGACTTCTATTCTAATATCATTATTCACCCCAGGCTTTCTTTTCTTTTCTAATATCTTTCCATCCCCCTATATTCAATCTTCACAGATAATGTTCTTTTCAGATATTTCTCTTCACATTAAGAAGCTGCATTTGATAGTTTGTGTTTTATTTCATAACTTGAGTTTCTATTTTTTTATAGGAAAGATTAATCTTTTCATAGCTAGTGTTTTAGTGCTATAGACTTATTTTTACATCATTTTTTTAACTTGCATTATGACTATGGAGTTTTAAATGAACAGCCATTTAAAATATATTTAAAATCATTGAGTGCTGATTACAATAAAAAACAGTAGTCCAATGGCATCCTACAATATCATGATGTATGTGTTCATGTAACATTTCTAATAATTACCCCACAGTGTGGGTGCAGGTAGGCAAGTTTAAGATAAAAACAAGTTTAAGATATTAAATCTTCTCTTCCTCCTCCTCCTCCTCATCATCACTACTGAGGATAAAGCCGCCACTTATGGACAGGGGTCCTTCACCCACTGCAGGTTCCTTCACACCAGACACAGCATCTGCTTCTCACTGGATTCTTTTCATCAAACACCATCTTGTTGGAATCTTCATCTTCCAACACTTTTCACCTGTGTCGTCTCCCTCCTCCTCCTAGGCATCATCAGCCCTTCCCCATCTGAGTGTTCTCCTCTTTTCCATCTGATGCATAATTGAATACTTTTTCACATTCATCTTCTTCCTTTGCATCTGAATCTTCACACTCGCAGAGCTTCCTCATCACTCGATCAGACCCATCATCTTCAAATTCTAATTTTTCAGGGTCATTTCTCCTAACATTTTTTCAACACCATTTTCTTCTAATAATTTTTGGAACCATCTTCGAACTGTTTTTCAAAGCAGTCTTCAGATTCTTTTCCCAAGACATCTTCCTCAGACCCTTTATGGGGCCATTCTCTCTTCAGGTTCCTTTTCGGGGTCACCTTCAAACCTTTTGCAGAGCTTTTCTTGCCATCACCTCTTTTGAGGCTCTTTTCAGGCTGGCCTTCAGACCATTCTCTGCAGACTTTAGGAACTTCCTTATTCACATTGTCTTTTAGGGCCATGTTCTTTAGCACCTTTTTCCTAAGCCTCTTTTTCAAAATATCCCCCATCTTCTGTCTTTTCAAGTATCTTTTCATCTACAGTTTATTTTGAAAAGATTTAATCCAGTATTTATTCCACACTCACGATCATTTTCTAAAGTCAGAATATATCATAAAATCAATCAAGTAACTTTCCAATAATAAATAATGCAGCATAGAATTCCTTTTAATATGCCTCTGTTCTAGATTAAGTTTTAAAACTCAGCAATCTTCATTATCAATACAAACGTTTGAGTTTTTAGAAAAGAACACTACATCAAACTTTCATAATTGAAATATTTTCCATTTGTAAAAATGCTTTGGAAGCTTGAGGTATGAATCTAATCCATGTCTCTGTTCATCTGCCCCACCTGCTCAGTTCCACATGAGTACAGTGTTGCTGCTAGAATGCTTGTCGAGACATTCATTTTCCCCTTTCATATAGTACTTTAAAATCAGAAATTCAAGAAAAAGATTTTATCATGTATTTTTTTTCTCCATTTTTAAATCTTTTATTTTTCAATTACAGTTGACATGCATTATTATATTATTTTCGGGTGTACTGTTATGTATTTTTTTCAAATTAAAAAAAACTGAATTTTAGGCATTCTAACAGTGTCCCTTTGAGGTAAAATGCCAAAAGGACTTTCAATCAAATCACAGCCTAATTTAAACCTGTGCATCAGAAACTCACTTCTCATAAAGTCAAATGTTAACTGTGGAGAATATTAAGTGTAACATATTAACGAGCCTTCCAAGATAGTACAAGTGGACAAGCAGGTAATCTTAAAATTAATTGCTGCCTTCATGTACATTGAAAACACATAACTCTCCTGTAATCGGTACTCAAGATCCATTCTCAAAGTCTTTACCATTCTATTAAGAAAAGCCCAGCCATGCTAAATTCGGTATATAAACCATAAACATACACTTAAAATACAAAAACTGAATTAGTGCCTTATGCAAATTTAACCAACATGGGCACCATGCCAAAATCATTAAAATATTTTTAGGATGTGTACAAACTGTACAGCTCAAAAATAATAAAATACAAGAACTGTCTGCATCATATATCAAACTCAACAACTGGGTGAAAACATCAAGGCAATAAAGGGAATTACAAAGGCACTTCCCTACACAAAATAGGAAATGAAAATGCAGCTTAGAGAGTGCGCACTACTGCAACAGTCCAACTCTAAAGGGGAAAGCAGATTTAATCAAATATTTATAGAATTCAACATGATCTACTTCCACATAACATTTTCTTATTATGCTATTTTTCTTGTCTTTTTGGCTCCTTTGACAATCATATTTGTCAGACTGGTCCTTTCTGCCATCTCGGTTGTGGGAATGTTCTTTGCTACTGACTAGTGTATAGTTTCTTTACATACCATGTTAGTTGTGGCTTCTTGAACATTCATCCTTGATGTGCTAGAGTGCTGTGGAAATGCCCTACTGTAGAAGACCCTGCTCTTTAAAGCAGATGTGCAGTTTGAACACAGAACACCTGGCTCTTTTGGCCTTGGGACATTCAAGAAAGTTTCCCATTCTTTCAGCCTTTCTTTCCTTTCTCCTGGGGTATCCTCAGCCTGGTCACCTGTACCCATCTCATGCTTGGACAAGGATTTGACAGCCATCCCATCACCTTCAACTGAGGGTTTGAATACAGTGATCGGCTTCCTCAGGGACACAGAGGTTACACCATCTGGGTGTGTGTCAAAGAGAAGGGACTTCCTAATTGGCCCAAATTATTTTTAAAAATTATTTTTATTATATTTTTCCATTACCATTTCCCCCCTATACTCTCTTCCACCTCCACCCCACCCCCCAATCACTACACTGTTGTCCATGCCCTTGAATCCTTTCTCTTTTTCCCCTGAATTCCTCCACCCCATAATGCCCCAGCCCCAAGCTGTCAGCCTACTCTCTCTCTCTATGAACCTGTCTTTATTTTGCTTGTTAGTTCATTAGATTCCACATGTAAGTGAAAGCATATGGTATTTGTCTTTCTCTGGCTGGCTTATTTCACTTAGCATAATATTCTCCAGGTCCATCCATGCTGCCACAAAGGGTAACATTTTATTTTTTTTTTATGACCAAGTAGTGTTCCATTGTGTAAATGTACCATAGTTTTATCCACTCATCTACTGATGGACACTTGGGCTGCTTCCAAATCTTGGCTATTGTAATTGGCCTAAACTTTGAATATTCTCCTTAAAAGTTTTCTCTGACCTCATTCAGCACTAATGGACCATCATTGAAAGCCATAGGATGACATACCTTTGATGATGACAACTCACTCATGGTGCATTCAGGATGGTCCAGCAGTCCAGCTGCTTTCATTGCAGAGGAAGCTGCCTCCTGTGGTACCTGTCCCTCTTCGTTTCTGAAGCCTCATATTCCCCTTCTGTTGAAATTTGACCGGGTACCTCAACATGCAATTTCTAGCTTCTAATTTTACCTTTATTCAAAACTATTCATGCAAAATCCAGATTCCCTCTTAAAATAACTCCAAAGTCCATCCCCTTTGAGATGGACTTGGTTATCTTTGTAAAGCTGGACCTTAAATTTGGTCTAAGGATCTCTCACAATCATGCCCAGTTTAGAGAGAAGGTATATAAATGCTTCCACTATAATGTCTGGAGGCAAACCAGTCACATGTACATTTATATTCTGTCTTCAACATGAAGCCTTCCTTTTTTTCTACCCTCTTTTTGAGATCAGAGACTTTGGGGTGTTTTTTTTTTCCTTTGCAGAGGTTTCTCAGGATTTCTAGCACCATGTTGTATGTTTTCAGTAGTCAGATATGCCATTACTGAGAAACCATAATTAGCCTGATATTTAGTGATGGAATCCTCCGTGATCATGGGCAAACCAAGCCTTCTTGGTCAGAGATGTCAGCCAGCTGCTGCCAGAAATATTGGTTTCTCTGGGATTCTCTTGGGTGTCATCATCCTCAGTATCTCCATACAATTCTTGCATTTGTGACTGCTCATTAAACTCCTTGTTCCATCTGCATAGTACCATGTTTCCTACCTTGCCCTGGAGCAGAGTCCAGGCAAACAAGGAGGCACCAGCTCACCAGCTCATTCTGGCCTTGCTCTTGCCAATAAGAGTCCAAAGCTAGCCATCTTTTTTGTATTATCACTTTGTCTGCTTTCTTTTGGGGCAGTATTTCTTAAATGTTCTCTGGGCTGCCGTTGCCCATTTAGATTCTATCTCTGGAGTCCCTCAAAGTTTCTGCTCCCTGGAGAATTCAACTCAACTATCTTCCAAGCACTTGAGACTCGTATCATCAGTTGGGTCTACCCGTCCTCCCCCACACCTCCATCAGCATCCCTTAGTCCAGGGGTGTCAAACTTATTTTCACCGGGAGCCACATCAGCCTCATGGTTGCCTTCAAAGGGCTGAATGTAATTTCAGCTCCTTAACAGTTAAGGAGTAGTTACATTTACACAGTCCTAAAATTCTTTTTGTCCCTTTGAAGGCAACTGCAAGGCTGATGTGGCCCCTGGTGAAAATGAGTTTGACACCCCTGCCTTAGTCACTAAGTGACAGGAATGTTCATCGGATCCTCAGGCCCAAAACCTGGGACTCACCATAACTCACATCCAACCAAGCTTCTCATCTTGTTCAGTCTACTTCCTACCAGTGTTTAATTGGCCCACTATTTCATCTAAAATTCTACCATGCTAGTCTGAAGTACCATCTCTTTTTTGCCTGGATTATTGCAACAACCTTCTAATTTTCCCTCATGTACTTTTGTCCCTCACAACCCATTTTTACAAATTC